AGGCTGAGGCGGAAGGATTGCCAGAGCCCAGCAGGCTGAGGCTGCGGTGGCCGGGATTTTATTGTAGAGATTTTATTGATTTTATTGTAGAGATGAGGTCTCACCAAGTTGCCAGGCGGGTCTTGAACCCGCGGGCTCAGGCAATCCTGGAATAACTTCTTATTTGCTGGTAGGTTCAGACTTATCTCAACCAAGGCTCAGCTCCTGATAGAGTAGATGGGACAAGGTCAAGTTTCCTCTGTCTCTGTTCTCCTTTGCTACTCTCACCATCACACCATTCATTTATTCAGTCAATTAAAAAGCATATATTGGGGCCGGGCTCGGTGGCTCAGCCTGTAATCCCAGCACTTTCACTTTATGCCACGATAAAATTAGTTGGGCATGGTAGCGCATGCCTGTAGTTCCAGCTACTTGGAAGGCTGAGGTGGAAGGATCGCCGGAGCCCAGCAAGTCGAGGCTGCGGTGACCGGGAGCGGCCACTGCACTCCAGTCTGAGTGACAGAGTGAGACTTCAACTCAAAAAAAAAAAAAAAAGAAGAAGCATATATTGGGCACCTACTGTGTGTTAGACCCTGTTTCGGACACTTGAGAGACAGCATTGAACAAATGAGATAAGCAGCATATCTCTGTTTACGAAGATGCCATTCTAGTGGGAGTAGTGGGAGGGATAGAATGGAAATAAAATTAAGTAAAATATTAAGTATTTTACTTAATATTAGAGGATGCTAAATATTTGGAGAAAAGAAAATTAATTTGGTGCCTATGTAATATTTTAAATGATCTCATGTAAAGGGAACATCGGTCCCCTTTTGTGGAACACAGATCAAGGTCTTGATCTGTGCAAATAACCTGGACTCTTCTTTGGAAAGTGTCTATGAAAAAGGCTGGTTTGGAAGTAAGATGGGTAAGGCATAGGGGTTGAAGATATGGACTTTGGCTCAAACTGCCTGGGTTTGAATTCTGGCTCTACCACTTCCTAGATAATTCTGGGTACTATTATCCTCCCTATTTTACAGATGAGGAAACTGAGGTTCAGGACATTTAGGTACTCTGCTCAAGGCCACACAGCTATTAAGTTGCTGCAGCAGAGTGAGGAAGGGGAGGATGGTAGGAAATAAGGTCAGGAAAACACAGGGGTGTTCTAGGGTCTCCTAGGCCACTCTAAGAAATTAAATTAGCTGGGCTTGGTGGCTCAGCCTGTAATCCTGCGCCTTGGGAGGCTGAGGTGAGTGGATTGCCTGAGCCTGCGGATTCGAGACCCGCCTGGGCAGCGACACCTCATCTCTACAATAAATCAAAAAATTAGCCGGGCATGGTAGCGCATGCCTGTACTTCCGGCTACTCAGAAGGCTGAGGCAGAAGGATCGCTGGAGCCCAGCAGGTCGAGGCTGCGGTGGCCGGGAGCGGCCACTGCACTCCAGTCTGGGGGACAGAGTGAGACTCCAACTCAAAAAAAAAAAAAAAAGAAATTAAATTGTGGCCTCACACTAAACTGTGACAAATGACTTTTATCTTCTCCCATTTCAGGCTTGTGATGTCCCCATTGAGGAGGGTCCAGTTCCCAGAACGGGGGCAAAGGGACCTATTATGTCCATCTACTTCAGAGACCCCGACAGAAATCTGATTGAGGTGTCCAACTACATCTCCTCATGATAAAAACTGACCTTCCTCCACTCTGTTCCCCAAGAGATCACCCTCTCCCTTCCTTCCTGCAAACCTTTGCCTAGGCCCAGAGACCTCCGAGGCCTGAAGACTTAGACACTTCACATATTCTGCTGGGAGGACCTGTCAGGTTTGGGCCCAAACCTACATGTCTGGATGTCTTCCATCCAAGCTGCCTCAATAAATATATAACCTCTCAATTAATATGAGATTATTATTAATGGGTGTTTTTCATTTTCTTTTCTTTTCTTTTTTTTTGAGTTGGAGTTTCTCTTTCTGTCGCCCAGGCTGGAGTGCAATGGCACACTCATGGCCACTGCAGCCTCGACCTGCTGGGGACTCAGGTGATCCTTCTGCCTTAGCCCTCCTAGCTGGAACTACAGGTGTGTACCACCATGCCTGGTTAATTTTTAAAATTTATTGTAGAGATGAGATCTCGCCAAGTTGCCCAGGCTGGGTTCAGACAATCCTCTCACCTCCACCTCCCAAAGTGCTGGGATTACAGGGATGAGCCACCATGCATGGCCTTTTTTTTTTGTTGTTGTTGTCTTTTGTTTTGTTTTATTTATGGGTGTTTTTCTAAGATGTGAGGTCTCTGAGCTGTTCAGAGTCTGTGACCGGGTATGACAACTCTGATGACCAAATCCAGGGTCTCCTCCTTGTGATTCAAGGTCCCTGACAGATTTCTCCTTATCAAAGAACTCATCCTTCTTCATCCTTTCCTAACTCGCCCCACTCCTGCAGCTGCTGCCTGTTGTTTCCTCCATCCCCAAGCCCCACAGAAACTCAAGATTGCTATGATTCCCATCGGATCTTCCAGGACCAGTCCCAGATGATGCTACCTCCCCCTAGAGAGACTCTCTGATCTCACTCCCAAGGTACTTAGTACTCTATGCCTTTGGATCTGGTGGATCCAGACTCATCTCAACTGAGGCCGAGCTCCTGATAGAGTAGGTGGGACAAGGTCAAGTTTCCTCAGTTTCTGTTCACCTTCACCACTCTCGCCACCACACCATTCACTTATTAAGTCAATTAAAAAGCGTATGTTGAGCGCCTACTATGTGCTAGACCTTGTTTCGGGCACTGAAGAGATAGCATTGAAAAAAAAGAGATAAGCATATTTCTGTTTGTGGAGCTGCCACTCTAGTGAGAGGGATAGAACAGAAATAAAATCAAGTAAGTAAAATATTAATTATGTTAGAGGCTGATAAATGTTTGGAGAAAAAGAAAGCACAGAAAAGAGGGAGTGTAGGTAAAAATTACTATAGTTCACAATGTCTACCAGGATGGTCCAGGAAAGCCTGACTGTGAAGGGTCTCAAGCACAGAGGTGAAGAGATGGGAGAGTGAGTCACACAGCTGGCTGGAGGAAGAGCAAGCCACGAAGACAGGCCAGCTAGTACAAAGGCCCTGAGGCATGAATGTGACTGATGTGTGTGAGAACAGTGAGGAGGCCAGTGGTGGGAGTGAGGGGACAGATGTGGTGGGGCCTCACAAGCCAGGGTGGGGACTTTAGCCTTTCCTCTGAGTGATGAGGAGCCACAGGAGGGTCATGAGCAGAGGAGGGACGAGATCGACTTAAGAAGATTGAACAGGCTCCCTCTGGCCACTGTATGGAAAACAGACTGTTGGGTGAGGGCGGAAGCAGGTGGCCAATGAAGAGGAGGCCACTGTGGTGGTCCTGGGGAGCCATGACAGTGGGAGCGACAGTGGGAGCAGGGAAGATGATTTTTAAAAGTGGTTAGAGCCGGGCTCGGTGGCTCAGCCTGTAATCCCGCGCCTTGGGAGGCTGAGGTGAGTGGATTGCCTGAGCCCACGGGTTCGAGACCTGCCTGGGCAGCGAGACCTATCTCTACAATAAATCAAAAAATCAGCCGGGCGTGGTAGCGCATGCCTGTAGTTCCGGCTACTCGGAAGGCTGAGGCGGAAGGATCGCCGGAGGCCAGCAGGCGAGGCTGCGGTGGCCGGGAGCGACCACTGCACTCCAGTCTGGGCAACAGAGTGAGACTCCAACTCAAAAAAAAAAAGTGGTTAGATTCTGGAGATATCTTGAAGATAGAGACTGGATGAGTTCGCCGAGAGAAAAAATGTGAACTAGAGAAGAGGCCTGAGAACATTTAGAGTTCTGAAACGAGAGGAGACATAGGTAAATTAGCCAGGAAAGGGGGAAGAGAAATGTATGAATTTTCCAGTGAACTAGTAGTGGGTGAAGGAGTGTATGTGAGAGGCTCTCGAAGTAAAAGAGCCCTAGTCTTGTGGACTCTGGTCTCTAAACAGTCCCCTGAAGTTAGTTCAGCTAGACTCTGAGTGAATCCCCAAGGAGCCCCAAAAATGCCGAGAAGAGAGGAAGCGTGAGAACATGAGTTTCAGCACATCAAAGGTTTTGCTAAAAGCTGTAGCAGGTTTTCTGCCTAATTTTAAAAGATAGCTTGCCATGGACGGAGACATTATATGACTGGAGAGAGATGATTTTGGAATGAAGGAAGGAAGGAAGAAGCAGACAGATGGATAGATGGATAAACAGGCAGGTGGCTGGGTGGCTGGGTAGATGGACTGATATATCCTGACCCCTGGAGAAATTCCTTCACATGTGTGCATAGAGAGAGAGAGAGAGAGAGGAATATGAGTTTGTAAATTGCAGATTTGCTGTAAGAGGGAAAAAACTAGAAATAACCCAAGTGTTCATCAACAGATGATTGGTTAAACAAAATGTGGTATATCCATTCCGTGGAATTTACTCACAACAAAAGGGAATGGATTTATGAGGCCAGCATTATTCTGATAACGAAACTAGACAAAGACTACACAAAGACTACAGATAATTAGCATAAGTATAGATACAAAAATCCTCAATAAAATACAAGTAAGCAGAAGTCAGCAATGTATAAAAAGGATTATACACCATGGCCAAGTGGGATTTATCCCAGGAATGCAAGGTTTGCTCAAAACATGAACATCTATCAATGTAATATATATTATTATTTATTCATATAATATATATTAATATGATAAAGGACAAACATCATATAATCTTTTCAGTAGATGTAGAAGAAAATGACAAAATTTAACACCCATTCATGATTAAAAAACAAAGCTGGGCTCGGTGACTCAGCCTGTAATCCCAGCGCTTTGGGAGGCCGAGGTGAGTGAATTGCCTGAGCCCGCGGGTTCGAGACCCGCCTGGGCAACTTGGCGAAACCTCATCTCTACAATAAATCAAAAATTAGCTGGCGTGGTAGTGCGTGCCTAAGTTCCAGCTATTTGGAAGGCTGAGGTGGAAGGATCGCCGGAGCCTGGCAGGTCGAGGCTGCAGTGGCCGGGAGCGGCCACTGCACTCCAGTCTGAGTGACAGAGTGAGACTCCAACTCAAAAAAAAAAAAAATGGCAACACTCCACAAATTGATCTAACGCAATCCCTATCAGAATGCCAGCTTGCTTCCTTGCAGAAATTGACAAGTTGACCCTAAAATCCACACGAAAGTGCTAGGGGTCAAAAATAGCTACAATTTTGAAAAAGAAAAACAGAATTGGAGGACTCATACCTCCTAATTTGAAAACTTACTACATAGCTACAGTAATCAAGACTGTGACCTGCTGGGTGCAGTGGCTCACACCTGTAATCCCAGCACTTTGACAGGCCGAGGCAAGAGGATTGCCTAAACTCAGGGGTTCGAGACAAGCCTGGACAACATGGCAAGACCTCGTCTCTACAATAAATCAAAAAATTAGTCAGGCACATGCCTATGGTTCCAGCTACTTGGATGGCTGAGGTGGAAGGATCACATGAACCCAACAGGTTGAGGCTGCAGTGGCCATGAGCGTACCACTGTACTCCAGTCAGAGTGACAGAGTGAGACTCTGACTCAAAAAACAAAAAAATTCCAGCACTTTGGGAGGCTGAGGCATTGCCTGAGCCCACAGCTTTGAGAACAGCCTGGGCAACATGGTGAGATCTCATCTCTACAATTAAAAAAAAGTTAGCGGGGCGTGGTGGCTCATGCCTGTAGTTCCAGCTACTTGGAAGGCTGAAGCGGAAGGACTGTCTGAGCCCAGCAGGTTGAGGCTGGAATGACTGTGAGTGTACCACTGCACTCCAGCCTGGGCGACAGAGTGAGACTCCAACTCAAAAAAAAAAAAAAAGACTGTGTAGTACCAGCATAAAAACAGACATATAGGTCAATGAAATAAAATTGAGAGTCCAGAAATAAACTCATACATTATAGACAATTGGTTTTCAACAAGGGTGCCAAGACCACATTCAAAATAATAAAGTTGGATCCCTTCCTCACACTATACACAAATATGAATTCAAAATGGATCAAAGATCTAAACGTTAAGAGCTAAAACTGCTAAACTTTCTAAAGAAAACATAGGCGTGAGTGGATTGCCTGAACCCGCGGGTTCGAGACCCGCCTGGGCAATTTGGCAAGACCTCATCTCTACAATAAATCAAAAATTAGCTGGGTGTGGTAGCACGCACCTGTAGTTCCAGGTACTTGGAAGGCTGAGGCGGAAGGATCACCGGAGCCCAGTGGGTCGAGGCTGCAGTGGCCGGGAGCGTGCCACTGCACTCCAGTCTGGGCGACAGAGTGAGACTCCAACTCAAAAAAAAAAAAAAGAAAACATAGCCATAAATTTTAGTGGCCTTGAATCAGGCAATGATTTCTTAGATATGACAATAAAGGATAAGAAGCCAAAGAAAAAAAATAGATAAATTGGACTTCATCAAAACTAAAAGCTGTCATGCTTCAAAGAAAGAACACTTACAAAAAAATGAAAAGACAACTACAGAATAGATGAGAGTATTTGCAAATCACATAACTATAAAGGGTCTAGTATCCAGAATATATAAAGAACTCTTAACTGCTCAACAATAAAAGGACAAATAACCCAATTCAAAATGGGCAAATTTGAAGAGAATTTGAAGAGAAATTTCTCCAAAGATAAGTGGCCAATAAACACACTGAAAAGATGCTCAACATAAGCAGTCACAGGGAAATGTAAATCAAAAGCACAATAAGGCCAGGCACAGTGGTGGCTCATACCTGTAATCCCAGCACTTTGGGAAGCTGAGGTGAGAGGATTGCCTGAATCCGCGGGTTCGAGACCAGCCTGGGCAACATGGTGTGACCTCGTCTCTACAATAAAACAAACAATTAGCCGGGCTTGGTATTGTGCGCCTGTAGTTCCAGCTACTTGGAA